CAAGGGGTCTGCATAGTGAACTCCCTTAGTGAGTGGCTTACCCTTATGTCTTACTAGTACATTGTGGCTATGAAAGAAAATGCTAGGGGTGAAGCTGAGATAGTGAAGTTGAAGGCTGAGCTACAAGAGGTTGGTTGAAAGATTAGATTGGTTGAGGATGAGTAAATAAGGTTTGAGCTACCAAAGAAGAGGCTACTGCTACACTCACTCAAAGGGAGCAAGAACTAACTCAAGCTATGGCTGAGTACAAAGAATCTGCCAAGCATTGGAAGGATTTGAACACATACAACATTAGTATTTTCTTGTTCTAGTTTGATATGTGTAAATCCAAGGTTGCTTAGTTCTTCGTTGATCAAGACCTCAGCTTTTTCGATCCGAAGGCTTCCCTAGAAGGGACCATCATTGTGGTAGGGGGAGGACATGCTGGATGAGACTTTTGGGTGTGATAGGTTGGTTGGAACAACCATGGGTGATAACCCTATTGTTTCATTGAGTGGCCTACATGAGACTTTCAACCATTTAGTTCCTCAGCTGAACCTTCCATCCCTTCTGACTGAGCTGGTTTGGTATTGCTGACTGGGCCTTGGCTCATTTGTATGACCAATGCATTGACAGAGTTTATCTTGATGACTCAACTGCTCAACCGTCATTCCCTATCAAGCCTAACTCAGTTAGGTATTTAGGGGTTCAGGGCCCCATCACCTTACCTATAGAGGAAGACATTTGGAACAAAAACAAAATTTTATTAAGGCTTAGTTTGGAAGGAGTACAAATACAAATATGTAGAGTGAAAAACCTTGTATTTTGTATTATTTTGTACGTATTTTCATAGTACATATTTGTATTTGTACTCTTTCCAAACTGAGCCTAAAACTCAATTCTCAAGGTACATAAGGTGTTTCTAGATTTGGTTGTCATTCTATTGTGGTTTAGGTGCTACCTAGTTGAGGCTTTTTCATGTTCTTAGGATGTTAGCTTCGACACTCTCTATGAGAGATGTAACCACCAAGGCACCTTTGTCAGATGAGGTATGTAGTTTCATTGTTGAGTTCTTACCAATCCTTGATGTCATGTCCATGGCCTTGCTAGAATATGCAATATTTGTCTTGATTTTCTTGATTGGATTTAAGCTTACCAGATCACCTAAAGAAGGGTTTGTCTTGGACCTTGAATAGGACTTGTGTCCATGAGGGACATTCAAGGGGTGTGATGGTTGTAACTTTGGAGCCTTCGGTGCTTGGCTGAGTTTGTTAGCTTAGGATCTTCTATCGCCGTAGAGTCTGTTATTGACTGTATTCGGTTTTTGAGCGATGGGATTGGTTAATCGGTGCTCAATGATTATGGTTATTTTGGGGCAGCTACTCTACTCAATTATTGAGGTAGTTGTGCTAAGTTGTTGGGCAGTTAGGGTCCCGATCCTATTGCTTATTCAAGTAGCTCGGGTGATGTTCTTGGTTTCCTTCGGATCAAGGGGAGTTGTTCTTGGGCAGTTACTTGGCTCGTCTACTGAGATGATCACGCAGGATGATTGGACATTTGGGATCTTGTCTAGCTATTGAGGTGTTCCTTGGTCACCGGTCAATAGGGTAATGAGGTTGTCAACTTGATACTAGAGGTTCTCAATTTGTTCTTGTGTGGCAGGTTGGACCTCTCGAGTTGGTTGTTGAAGGTTTAAAGGATGAGTTTGGTTTTTAGGGTGGTTCTTTGCGGCTGTAGAGACCTGCTAAGAAGGGACTAATTTTGGGAGTTTCTATTGGTATTGGTGTGTGTCTTTGGAGTCATGGTGGTTTGGTTGATGTTGGTTTTTAGGGTGGTTCTTTGTGGCCGTGGTTCTTAGGGTGATTCTTTGTGGCTGTGGAGACAAGTTGAGAGGGGCTAATTTTGGGAATTCCTATTAGTATTGGTGTGTATATGGAGTCATGGTGGTATGGCTTCTTGCTCGTTTCCCATAGATGGAGTCAATCTGTTGCAGTCCAAATTAATAGACAAATATAATGAAAGAGGGTGGACTAATGTGAGCGAATGAACTGAGCTACTTCTGAAGATTTGCAAAATGGTAAAGAGTCCTAAGGTGTGTCCCCAAGTGAGCTCTCAAATTCTTAAATCAATAGATGATTAAGAGATTGATGGCTTGAACAAAAGAGATTGGTCGGTGATGGAAGCAAGAAAGCAAGGAGACTAGAGGGCGTTGTATTATGTATATTGTTTTTTCAAAGATACCATACCTATATATAGAAGAGATGTTGTGCATGTTTAGGAGTCCTAGTCCTATTGGGAGACAACTATTGAGCCTGGGGTTCACAACGGCTTATCCTTATCTTAGCATGCCTTGTGCATATGAATGAGGCTGACTTGTTGGATTGACAGTTGGGTTGGTTGGGATTACTATGGAGATCTTTGGTATATTCTAGGACATGTGATGGCATGGGTTTGGCCACGCATATGGACCTCATCATGTATATCTAGAGTTTTCAACCTATAATGCCACTTTTTTTTTATTTTTTTTTAAAGTTTGATAAATTTAAAAACAAATAAGGATATTAAAACCAATTGAGGGCTGGCTCGTTGGTGTGCTAACTGGGTTGTACCAGCATCGACGCGGAATCAAGTCCCGCATCCAGCACTTTAGGGGGAAAAAGGGTAAAGGGGAAAGTTATGGGTGTTTAACCAAAAATCTTGCTTCATTCTACAAAACAAAAAAATGATATTAATGTTTGAATGCTCAAAGTCTCAATATTTAGCATTCCGGTGACCCTCAAATTGATACATAAGCCAACTTTACTAATCGATAGAGTATTAACTTTTACATGCAATGTGTACATTTTATACATGTTTTCTACCTTGTTCTTCATTTTTTTTAAATCAAATACAACCTTGAATTAATAAATTCGGATTACTAGATTAGATTCATATTTGATCCAATTATAAATAGTAGGGCTATTCACTGGTCGGATTGGGTTGGTTTATTGACGCTTTTCCAACCGACCTGACCTGGTCGGTTTACCTAGAAATGAAACCAAAACCGACCCAATACAAAGTAAAACCGACCTGGTCGGTTTGAATCGGTTTGGGTCAGTTTTGTGAATGATTCTCCCAGTGTGAACGATAAAGGATTCAAGTCTAACAAAGTAAAGGTTGGATGCTTGGAAATTAAAAATGATTTGATGGATTAAAACTGATATTTTATATATCAGAAATTTTATATATAATATGTATATTTCTGAAATAAAGCTGAAATATATATAGTAAAACTGGAATATATCAGATATATATACATATATATTATATATAATATATCTAAGTCGGTTCGGTTTCAGTTTTTATGTTTAAAACCGAAACCAAACCGAACCATCGGTTTATGTTTTTTTGTAACCCGAAACCGACTGGTGCTGAAGAAAAACCGGCCAATTCGGGTTGGATCGGACCGGATTGGTCAATTTGGATCTTGTTATGAACAGCCCTAATAAATAAATAAAATTCAAATCACCCTTAATTCATTGAATTCGAATTAAGATGAATAAATTTTGGTCTAGCCAGTTGGAGACACTTTTGCTTTCTCGTATCCAATTAACCCACTAAAAAGAATCCAGTTATCCAAGAATCTCTACAATGAATGAAGGAAATGACCCTAATTCCATAATTTGTCACAATCAAGCCATTTCTGATGTCTAATTAACTGTTTAAGTTGATTGTTGACTTGGATATTTCCATGGATTTCATCGTTGCCTTTTGACTTTGAAACACTTGATAAATGGGGCCCTATAAGTGGGGCCCTTTACCCACTACATGCATCTCCGACCTCATGTTGGGCATACTATCGTCATACCATATCTTTCACACTTTTCACATATAAACGTGAACCACACATACATACAATTCACATGGACCCCTCCGACCAAAATTGTTAAATGTTAAATAATCTTAAGTGGACGGCCAATTGGTAGAAAAAGTTGAAATCTTCTACGCGTATGTCAGCTTAATTGGCCCCATTACGTCCTGAGCGGTTCCTAACCAATCATGATATGACACGTCAGTATGACATAGGACCCACATCTACGAAACCTAGACCTACTTGGCGTACCCTGATTATGGGTAGACTGTAGAGGTTGCACCAATGTTTTGTTGCCCATTTTATTGTCTGGTTGAAGTGGATGGTTCTCTGTCAAAAATTTTAAAAAATAATTAAAATAAAAATTAGCCAAAAATCTTTGAATAAATCGAATGGGTCAATAATTCAATTACCTGGGTTAATGAAATATTGATCGATTAAATGATTTTTTATCAAGAATAAAATTAGAAAAAAATAGAACCGATTTTCTGGACGATTTTTGAACTGAACGATGGGCTGTTTGGATCAGTGACAGTTCGAAAACCATGATTTACATTACCATGGCTATGGTTTATCATACCGTGTCTGATAGAGAGATGACTAGTGAGTAGTGACTTACAAAAAGAAGGGTAAATTATATATTAATAACTTATACTATGAGGGTAGTGGCAATAACTCCTAAATTTTTATTTGTGACAAAAAACCTTTTAAAATTTCATATTCTGATTAAGATCCTCCTCTATTAACATTCACACTTTTTATCTAGCAACATTTTAACATTAGTAACGGGCTTCGAAACCACATCTCGTCTAGGGTTTATCTAATTACGTGCCAACCGAGCCACTCGATTGTCGATTGGTTATTAAAATAAGTAGGGTTGAGGTTCAATTTAGTGTTTTTTTTTGTTTATTACTAGTTTAGTCCATATTTCAATTTTAGGTTTTCGTATAATTTTTTTATTTTCTTATTTCAATTTTTTATAAAAGTTTGCTGAATGGATATTTTGGTAAATTACTTTTCTGTCAATTAATTTAACAGAAATGGGGTCAGGGTTTGTCACGAAATGAAAGTTTAGGGGCTAATTCCCACTACTCCTAAACTTAAGGTAATTATATGGCTGTAATTGACTTCTCACTTCTCAGCTCAATCCTTTCTCACCAGCAACTTGTGAATATATATAGCTAGAAAAGCATAGATATGAGTCTGCGAGACCCTGTTTTTCTCGTCCACTTATCTGCTTCTGTTCCTTATTCTTCCTCACCATTGAAGGGGCCTTGTGAATTGGAAATTCTGTGCTTCTACTCATGGCGTGCAGACTTGCAGACTCGGGATTCCATTTCATAGTAGTCTCTATACCTATCTATTCCATCACATGTTACTTTCTTTTTCTTTAAATTCTTATACATTGTGCATTCTTTGATTTCAGGGCTCCCAGCAAAGGCGAGTTCGTAGTAATAGGATTGCCTCGCAAAGTTTTCCCGGTATGCATTCAGTTTCAGTTTTGAAGGTGTTCTCGTTTTGTTTGTCTTTCTGGTCACATCCCACAAGTTCATTTTAGTTGTTTGAGTAGTTTCTCATATTTTTCTCTACATGGTTGGTTGATTTAGCTTCTATTTCCAAATGGTTATTCAGGTTATGTTTGAATATTGCGTACTGGTATACTTTTAAAATAGATATAGAGTTTTTAATGGTAATATAATGGTCGAGAAACAGAAAATTTTGAGTAAGTAATTGCAAAGACCCTCTCTCTATTTTGGTGCATTCGAATCAACAGTTACCGCTGCACTGTTTTAACTTGACACCCATTTGAGGGAAAAGGTCTGCATAACAGGTTTGAGGAAAGGGTAATGTATTAGTGTTGATATGAATGAAAGGGGAAGACCCCGTATACAGTGAGAAGCTGTATCTCAATAAGTATCTCAATAAAAATAGGTTGCATCACAAAAAACAAACAGGACCCCGCCACAACTCAGTTCAACAGGCTAAAAAAAACCTGCCCTGCTGCCTTCCTTATTATCTCGTCAACGTTGGTGTGAAAAATCTTGAACTCCTGGAATTCCTCTACGTCCAGACGTCCAAACAATAACCTCTAGGATGGAAGGACTTTCCTTTCTTGTTTGCCACCAACTGACACCCCAGTTGATTTGGTAAATTTGGCAGTCTTAACTATATCCAATATATCAGCTGTGTAGTAAAAATAGCTAAGTCTTGAAGCTATTTAACACCATTGTGATACATGATGGATCCCAAATTTGATTCTTCTGTATCTAATGTGCAGACTATTTATGATCTTCTCTACTTGTTCATCCATAAGAAATTTTCCCTTTACTTGGCTCACATTTTGGTGCTTTAGCTTGTTACTTATTTCTATGTTTATATAGAGAATTAGAGATATATGGTTCTCTCATTGAAATTTCTCAAAAAGGTTGCAATATGTCCCGTTCATTTCAATTGCCTCATAGGCTCTATGTGGTTATGACATTGCATGTTTGGAAAGGTCTCAGGCTTTTGAAGGCATTTAAATATTTTTTTCTTGCCCTTTGTTGATAGGAAGAAGACCAAATTGTGTCATTGAAGTCCATTATTATCTTTCTTCATTTGGATTATATTGATCATCACTGAAGTGAGAACTTTCCATCTTTCATGGATTGAGTTTTTCTCAGATGTAGAAAGGATGGGTGAAAAATTGATCATGCATTGGAAACATATCATTTGTTTTCCTTGACCAGAAGAGTCTGACCTCCTCTTTACAGGAAGAATTTAAAAACTAGAATAAAAAGATAATAGTGGACTACTTACATCACAATTTCTTTTATGTCAGATTTAGTTTTATATACTTGAGAATTACTTTTATTTCACTGAGAATGCTTTCTATTTTCTTTCTTGAAGGATTAAGTCAACAATACATGGTATTTTTTTAACAGTTTAACCTAAAGTTGCTTTTTTTCAAAAGGGTGTTTAATGCATTAGAATATGTTATTTTTTTGTTCTTGTCCTTGAACTGTATTTAAGTATCAGCATTTATTATATTCTTTTTGACTATAGCTTATGATGTTGGTTTTGCCAACATTGTAGGCACACTAATGCATTTCCTAATCATAAACAGGTATATGCTATGTGAAGTGGGGAAGCCTCCCCAAAGGGGGATCCAATTCTCATATTTTATCTCATAACAGAAGGACTGTAATTGTACAGGCTGTGGCAGCTCCAGTTCAACCCCCTACAGTAGACGACAGTTCTGAGCAAAGAAAGCAGCTGGCTGAACACTATGGATTTAGCCAAATTGGAGAAGCACTTCCGGAAAATATTACACTGAAGGATATTATTGATACCCTTCCGAAGAAGGTATCCTTTCTTAATATAGTCAATGGTATAAGAGGCATATATAGGTCAAGGAAGCCACATGTTCAAACATCTGCCAATGGTATATATGATATGCCTTGAAAGATCAACACCCTATGTTTGATTTGTCCTATCTAGAAGAACTCCAAGGTCCTTAAAAGACCAATCAAATAATACCAACTGATGAATCCACTTTCCTGGAATTTTGTTGTATCTTCTGACACTGAATGGTTATGATTATTCATTTGGTCAAATTTTAATACTGTCCAGTGGCTCTTGTTTTCCTTACAAGATTGGATGTCTTGAAGCATTATCTGCATTAATATTTTCAATGGAAATCTTATTCCATTGTCTAACCCTTCATGAATATTTTGCAATAAGGTATTTGAGATTGATGATGTGAAGGCTTGGAAGTCGGTCTTAATATCTGTTACTTCTTATGCGTTGGGACTTTTCATGATATCCAAAGCTCCATGGTATCTACTCCCATTGGCTTGGGCATGGACTGGAACTTCTGTAACTGGGGTAAGCCCTCTCCTCAATTTCCTCTGTCATTATTGGATCATTAAGACTTCATTTCAATTTCCTTTGCTGTTTATCCCAGGCATCTTATTTCTTTTTCCTTGTCAAGCTCTTTGTAATAGGCCATGATTGTGCTCACAAATCATTTTCGAGGAACAAACTAGTGGAGGATATTGTTGGAACATTGGCCTTTTTGCCTCTTATATATCCATATGAGCCATGGCGTTTTAAGCATGACAGACATCATGCAAAAACAAACATGTATGCATTCTACCTGCCTCCATTCTATTAGTTCTGTTGAAGCAAATATTATCTGTTTTTCATATTAAGTCAAATCTGTGTGAGCACATGATGGTTAAATTATTTGGACAGGATGGGCTAGAGGATTGTTTTATCAGGATATCTACATGTTGAACCCTCATTTAATCCTGTCTATGCATGAACATCGTTTGTCTTCAGGGCCTTTGGCATTTCATATCTCCTGGATGGATTTCTAAGCAAAAAAAGAATAAGGAAAAGGAGAAAAAAATCTGACTAATTGAAACCCCTGAACATCTGATCTGTTGCTTTCAATAGGTGGTTGTGAGGATATCTTGAATAAAATTTAAACAAAAGGGTATATTATCCATAGAATTGTTAGGGACATCCAATTGGGGAAATTTTGTTCATTTACATTCCTAGTCCTAGTTGAAAGTTGAAACTAGTTATCAACTTCCTATAGAGGATTAAACATGTGTGGAGTGTGTTAATTAATTCCTGTTATAAGTAAAAATACTGTACTAGGAAATTAGTTAATAAGATCAGATAGGTCCATTTCATTAAAATTGGAAAGGAGGATGCTAAAACTAATAAAAATAAAATATAATGTATCCAAAAAAATGTGGCAGTGGTATTTTGTTTATCAACTTCTACATGTCATCACCTTTTTAATTTAAAAATCCAGCGGGCTCACTGGTAATGTCTCTTGCTGGTTGTAGCAAAGACCTGGTATCAGTTTTCCACTTTTTTCAGGGTTGGGATGGTTTTAGGGTTCAGGAAATGGGCTATACCCCATTGTATAGTCCATTCGCCTTGCAAAAGGGGAAACGGAAAGGGTTGGTTGGACCCAGATATATATGAAATGAAATATTAAAAGTTACACCTATAGTGGGGCATGCTTAGGGGAGAGTTAGATAAAAGCCTTGCCCTTCAGAAAATCTGTGTGAAATAAACCAGCTCAGTCTCAAAGACCTAAATATATCCAGTCTTACTTATATATGTAGGAAATTAAGGATCCTCCAGATTTGTTCTGTTGACATCTAACTGCAACAATCAGTTTTTTTTTTTATTTTTAATTCACAATTGCTTAGTGACCCTTGAACAAGGGACTATGTTCTTAGGGGAGAGTTCGGATAAAAGCCTCGCCCTTCAGAAAATCTATGTGAAATAAACCAGCTCAATCTCGAAAACCTAAATATATCCAAACTTATTTGTATATCTATGTAAGATCCTTTTCCAGATTTTTTAATTCATAATTGGAAGTTCCTACAATATAATTTCTTAATGACCCTTGAACAATAGAATTTCTCATCTTCAAATCTATTAATTTGTGGTGGACCCTAATGAAAGTACAAAACTATGTGTCATATAAATCATGGAATAATCCAGTTTATAAGTCTAGATTCATATTTTTCATTATTCTCCAAATTACCCTTTCCTTGCTATTCTCTTTTTTAATGATGCTTTTCATCTATTTCTTTTCATCTTGATCTTGAAAACATTCTCTTTTCTTTGTGCATTTTGTCCAGGTTGTCTGAAGATACAGCCTGGCATCCTATTTGGAGGAAAAAGTTTGATTCATCTCCAGTTTTGCGCAAAGCAATCATATTTGGTTACGGTCCAATCAGGCCTTGGATGTCTATAGCTCACTGGTACCATAGTGATTATTCAGACAGTATCAGTCATTACTCATTCAGACATGTTATCCACATTTAGTATACTGCTTTCTACTTAGTTTTGAGCACTATTCTGGATTGTTAATATCTCGATTTTTTGCTCCTGGATATCAACATTAATAGACATCTCAATAAATAGGTTGATCTGGCACTTCGATTTGAAAAAGTTCAGACCAAGTGAAGTTAAAAGGGTGAAGATTAGCTTGGCTTGCGTCTTTGCATTTCTAGCAATTGGATGGCCGTTAATTATCTATAAAACAGGAGTGGTGGGATGGATCAAGTTTTGGTTGATGCCATGGTTGGGGTTTCACTTTTGGGTACTGCTTCTTGCTCTCTTTATCTTTAGCATTCTTTAAGGCTGTGTTTGGTTTGAAATAAAAGGTAGGGAAACTTACCTTGTATAGGTTTCCCTACCTTCCCCTTCCTTTCCCTACCTTTTCTTTCAAACTAAGCACAGTGTAAATGACTTTGATGTTCAAGGAACATAGGTATTTACCGGGATTGGCCAACACTTAACCACTTCACTTGGCTTATGGCCTATGGTGCTGTGATCCATGACTCAAGGTCTCCTGCCTGTGTACTATGCCTTTAATCAGTCTTATGGCTGTAACAAACTAACAATCTGTTCTTATCCTTCTTCCAAACCACCAACAAAATATGACAGGTTAAGAAAAAGGTCTCTTAAATGGTAATATCTATGATGCTGCAAGAATTTTGACCAATCAACCCACCTTAAATTTTGATGAATGCCAGCTGATTGGTTACCGCTTTTATGATTTAAGTTGATTGGTTATAAATTTTTTATACATCATGCCCTTCCGGTATCATAGTCGGACTCTTGTTAAACAACCACATGCTGCTTTGGTTCCGAGAGTGGGAGATCTCCTAGTTGGAGCCCACCATATCACTTGTCTCATCCTATGTTTCTGCTACTTGTGTGGAGTTCATATTCACAAGATAAAGACATGGACCTTAGTTCCTTGTCTTATGAATCCAATGTCTGAAGTTCTGTGTCTTAATGGTCTAACCCATAAACATTTGCAGATGAGTACTTTTACAATGGTCCACCATACAGCTCCACATATACCTTTCAAATCTTCAGATGAGTGGAATGCAGCTCAAGCTCAGCTTAATGGGACAGTTCATTGCAACTATCCTCACTGGTAATACACCATTCTTTGCCTGTCTCCTACCCCCCCCCAAAAAAAAAAAAAAATAAAAAAAATAAAAAATAATAATAATAATAAATAAAAGAAAAGAAAAAAACTCTCCTATCCAAAAAGAGAACCTTTTTCTTTTGCATGATATGTTGAGATGAGAATGTCCTCCACGAGTTCAAACTAAAAAAGATGCAATAAAGCTAAGGGCATTGCTATTATTCAGCAGTCAGAAAATAAAGTAATTGAGGAAGAATGAGAAAGAGAAAACATCTTTAGCAATGCTCAATAATCAATTAAAATATTTATTATCTTGTTCCTTCCCTTTTTCCTAGATTTAAATGTTTTCATATATTAATTTTACTTTGTTGCTTATCTGGAATGATGATAATGGAAGATTCCTTTTGCTGGACAGGATCGAGATCCTTTGCCATGATATCAATGTACACATTCCTCATCATATATCTCCAAGGATACCAAGCTACAATTTGCGCGTGGCTCATCAATCTATCCAGGAGAATTGGGGCAAGGTAAACAGATCATTTCCTCTTGATTATTACATTTTGTCTTTCTCTTTGAAATCCCTTCATACATGGGGGCTGACAAATTTCTTTCCTTTTTCTCCTCTTCCACCTTCCACCTCTGATATTCTGCACTACCAACAGTACTTGAATGAAGCGACATGGAATTGGCGTTTAATGAAGACAATAATGACAATGTGCCATGTTTACAGCAAGGAGGAAAACTATGTTGCATTTGATGGCATTGCTCCTCAAGAGTCCCAACCAATTACATTCCTTAGAAAAGTGATGCCTGATTATGCCTAAACTTATTTTATGTTCATGGGGTCTACTACTTTCATTTTTTCCCCTTTTGATATTATTTTTGGGGTCACATTACATGTATTCTCTCTTATATGAAGCACAAATGATTCTTTTATTTTGGCAATAAAAATAGTCAGGTAGGGCAAAGCGGTGATCTTCAAAATCCATGCTTTGATTGCTTTCCTCTAGTCGTTAAGACTTTATCAGACTCCAATCATGTAAACAGGCCAACTGCCAACAACTATTGGACCATTTCTTTGTCCAACAACTATTAGACTTGTTCTCTGTGATGCAACAGATTTGATCAGGAATACAATTCCAGGTAGCATTTGCTTTGTGCCATATAGCTGCGTAGGTCCATTACAGGCTTACAGTGGTAAAATCTTGTAATTTAGATCTCAAGCTATCTGAAAAGAAAGTTATTTGCTTTGTGCCATATAGCTTCATGGTTTTCCTTTTTTCTTTCTTTCCTAATTTGTTTTCTTTGGATTGAATATGCTTGTTAATTTCTGTTTAACTTGCATAGTTTCAGCTTCCAATTTCTCATAAATCCTAATCTTGGTGGGGACAACTCAAATTTAATAATATTTTTAGGGACTATATTTTAGTATTGAATTACAAGGTGAAGGAATTCCATATTTGATCAGTCGATCTCATGCTCGGACGGTTAACGGAATATTCAGGTTTGGTTAATAATATGGTTATGGTGGGAAACAGACAGGGCCCATTGCAAAAGCTAGTGACGTTCAAAGTACATGATCTCATCATGCTCGTCCCAGGAAATCAGGCCCAACGACAGCAGCTACTTCAGGTGTTCCACATTACCAGTTTACCACCCAGGGCCCAGCTTAGCGGTTGCAACCGTTCACATGAAAAAAGGGAAAAAAATTCTTCAACCATCTTTTTCCACACCAAGCTGTTCCAGCTCCTTACCGAGATCGGTTTTGAAGAGTCAAAAGTTGCAGTAAGGGAACCAACTTTGAAAAAAGAAAAGTGGAGAGAGAGAGAGAGAGAGAGAGTCCAGAAGAGAAACATCTGAGAGCCTTCTCACTTCCCAGTCAGTCCAAAGCAGAAGACTGGAGTAAAATTTCTGAAGTTAATTTGTCTCCAAAGGGGGGACCCTAAAACATATTATAGTTTAATAAAACTTCCATTTTGGATCTCAAAAAATTCAAGCTGGGGTGGGTGGTTAAGCAATTAGTTGCATTCATTTCTGAGTAACAAATTTGAATAACTCTATACAAGCTCAAAATCCAAAATTCACTAAAGGGTGTCAAACCTATTAGATTTTAGATCGACTTGACTCGAATCTCTAAGATTTCTACAACCTATGAGAAAGCACTTACATGGAATGAGGGAGCTGCCTTGTACAGTTGCACTGAATCACAGGATTGGGGGAGGTGGAGTCTCCCATATATCAAACACATTCTCCTCACTGTGAAGGGCAAACAACCGATCGCCTCCTATTGAGAAATCGCAGATTGAACCTCCATAGCTCCTTCGGAGCCTAGACGTCAACACCCAATCTGGGCCAGAAAACACAGAGACACAGTCGTTCATGGATGAGAAGAGCTGACCTCCATGCAATGCCAGCTTCGGATAGCATGGCTCATCAGGCATCTTCCCCTTCATCAACCGGCTTCTGGAGCTCCACCTGACGCTCGCTGCTGTGCTCCTTAAATCCATGAAACCCAGGTCCTCGTACTCATTTACCACACAAATAGAACTAGCCGTCTCCATTGCTATGGCATCACGGACTCTCTTTTCATCTACAGTTACAGGAGCCCCAAACCCAATGTCTGACCAGGACCAGACCATCCTCCTGTCTCTGAAATCCAGCAGGCTGATGTAGCAGTTGTCCTTTCTTGGAAACAAGGTTGCAACCAACAAACAGTTAGCCCGCTGGAGCCATTGAAGCTTGTCAGCATCACCAAGGGACCAACCCAGAGGTTCATAAAAGAAATCAATCTGCTTCCCTGTCACCTGGTCCCATACCCCAATTCCATACTCATTGCTCCTACCTTTACAACTAGCAAATATCTTGTAATCTGGGCTGAAACTCAAGGCTCCAGCGGTGAAGCTTTTGACCTGGTTCTCATGACTCACCTGAAACTTGTACCTGAGCTCGCCTGTGGATGAGCTGAACAGACCCATCCCACCATCCCCATGGCCTAGCTTCTCGCAGGCACTGACCACTATGTTGTTAGAGTCGATCCACCCAGCATCGTTCACTCTCTGATAATCAAGACTAATTGGCTGGTGTTCTTCAAGCATCCAGTCATAGACGTGCACCATGCTGCCATGGGCGACACAACAGCCTCCATCAGGGCCTGCCCGGATTGCCGTGCCGTCGCCGGGTGCTCGACCCATTACAGAGCCGGCGAACTTGAGCCTGTTTCCATCAAATTGACCCCTCTTGGCAGTCCGTACACGGTCGTGCAGGCCATAGAAGAGGGCCTCGCGGTACAGCAGCTTTTCAGGTACGTTGGCAGGAATATGGAGCTCCCCGGTCCGGAGAAGGTCGAGAAGGACGGCAAAGCACGAGGGATTTCGATCGATGAAGTACTCACTGGCCCCGTCGGGTTGCAGGTTCCAGTTCTCGTCAAACATTGCTCCAAATAGCGAGTTACGGCCAGCGTTAGCCAGGGTCGTCCCTGTTGTCTCGAAGATCCTACCTCCAACATTAAACCTCACCCTGTCTCTCTGAATTCCCATGGTTTGCCGGAAATTTGAAAGACTCAATTGGGCCTTATAGAAGGAAGATTACCGTGAAGTTGAGGAAGTTAAATCACTGATGGTTGTAAAACGAGAAATACAGTGACAACAGAGATATTTGTTGGAAGAAAATGAATATGTATCACCTGAAATGGGAGAAATGGAGGAGATTCTTTGAAAAAGAAAATCTGATAATAAGTCTCTCCAATGTTGGAAAGCAACAATGGAAACAAGACATTGAACGAGAATCGCAGACTACGAAAAGAAATTATGTAGCGGCCCTGGATAGGTTGAAAAACAAGCCCGGAAAAGATAAATATTTATTGATGAAATGAAACCGAAACCGAAACCGGCATCAATTACAGAAAGCCAGACGGGAAATTTTCATCTACGGGTTGGAAATCAAACAGAAGAATCGTATAGACACATGAAACACAAAACAGAGGATGTCGATGAACTAACAGGAGAAACACACCGAAACCGACGAACTGCGGTCTGGGTTTTGTAGAGGGAAGGATTTTGGATATGGGTTTTCATTTGCGCAGGATTTGGTACGGGAGATTGGAATTTTGGAGCCTGTTAGATTTCAAAATTGACTCCACTCTCTCTCTCTCTCTCTCTCCGGTCTGTCCCTGATTTTCATCCGGTCTGGGCAATTCCTTAAGCTTTACTTATGTCTTCGCTGGGCCGAGAAATTCAAGGGTCTTCGTCCTCCATATAGAGTCACCCCTCTCTCTCGTCCCTCCCCCCAAAAGAAAGCGTGTCGTGTGGGGTGAGTAGAGATCCTTCCAATTTTTATTTTGGACTCCATTATGAAATGACACAGAAATTGAGATTCTGATTAATTTCTTAATCAACAACACTTTTAAATCATGTTAACTACTAATCTAATGCTCTTGTTAGTTTTCTTTAACTTTTCAATAGATGAGAGGGAGTTTTTTCCTAGGTGGGTCATCCACTTCTCTAATCTCTAAAACAGTTTTTCCATCTTCAAGCCACCCAAAGGATGAAATTGACCAGTGACGTGGTCAATAAGATCACCCAGTTGATACGTAAACTCATTGTCCCTGTCCATGTCAGCTGCATTGCTGACTGGGTCTTGGATGCTTGATGCTTCATCTCTTTTAGGGCTCTACATGATATATGTTTGTCCAAATTAGTTACTGTTGAGGATGATGTAAATTCGATGGCTCTATAGTTGGACTGAATTATAAAATATAATTCTTGGATTGGATTTTTATGATTTACACAAAAATTAAGACAATTTAGTATTCATACTTAAAATTTAATTTATATAGTCAGTTTGGTTGATATACAGTACTGTTAAAGTCATTTTTAGTTGATAATATAATTAATAACATATAATATTTTGATTTTAACAGTGGATATAATTTTAAATAGAAGGGATTAGTGAAACAAGGTCCATGTAGCCGATCTCATAGTTGGAATAAGGCATAGATGATAATGATATAATATTTTGATCATTTTGAGTATAACTTATTCATTTTAATCAATATCTAATTGCAATCCGAATACGATTACAATCGATGATAAATCTAATGGATAAGATTCGACTTAAGTCTGAATTTGGATGGATCTATTGGCGCTATCCATCAGAATTTCCCCTTAACCCAAGGAGGCGTTCTTTTTTCGGATTTTGAAAGGGGAGAAAGTTGGTCAATGGGATTTGGATTTCCATTGACCAAGAATCTCATGTTCTTTTTTTCAGATTTATGTGAGGACCAGGGAAAGTTTATTTTCCTGGGTATCACTTATCCGAGTAAGTGGTACTCATCTCCTAGGTAGGTAAATAACTTTCCCACCTAAGGAAAAGTTGTCAACACTTGAATGAGACAAAAATATCCCTTTTAATAAATGGATTTTTATGGCTAAAATGGTCATTGCCTTATTTATATGACAAATAAAAGAACATGGGTAAATGCACTTACCTAGGTAACTAACTTACCGAAAAGCGAATGGGGCCTAAATGTTAGATGTGTCTTATTCTCGGAACTCAGGTGATTGTGCTAGAGGTGGGATTATTAGAGATAACAATGTACAACAGAATACACTTAGACCCAAGCCCGAGCCCGGCCTGACCATCGGGTCTAGGTTTTGAGCCCAAAGCCCGGGTCTGAGCTCGAGCTCAGCCAGAAATTTGAAAACAATTTTTTTCTTTTTTTATTCAATAAAAAGTATTTTATTTATATTAAAAACCTTCAAAACTCAAAAATAATAAACATCTCACTATTACTTGGAAAAAAAGAGAAGAAAAACAAAGAAAAAATATTGTATAATATACATATATATATTTATTAAATAAAATATATTATTATTATTATTTTATATATAGTACCAAATAAGACTCGGGCTCGGGCTCGGGCTGGGCTTTTTTGAGAAAGCCTAAGTTCGGCCTGAAAAAATTCAAACCCAGTGCTTTAGGCCTGAACTAGAACCCGTGGGCCTAAAATTATGACCAAACCTGACTTATATCAGACCGGGCAGAGTATTGAGCTCGGGCTATTCGGCCAATATGGCACATCAATGTAGGCCGAGTATTGGGCGCTTCTGGATGGCTTAAATCATTGCTATAGCAGGGGATTGACAGAAGTAAAAATAGAAACTGATAACAAAGTTCTCGTAGATATCCTCATTGATATCATGTGTTCAATTGCCCCACTTAGCTTCCTCATGATCCCTTAACCTATTTGAGGGAGACTGCCAATCTTTAGAATTGATTAATGAGGTGTTTATGGAATTTTATTTATTTTCTTCAGTTTTGTGTAGTACTGAAGGAAGTGTGGGCTACGTCCTCCCTTGTAAATGATTTTTTGTTGTTGATTGATTAATAAAGTCTGGGGTTGAAAAAAAAAATTGAATTTAGATGTACCTATATTTGATTCCATCTGCAGCCCTATTTTATTCACTTAGGTTATGTTTGGTTTGAAGGAAAAAGTAGGAAAAGAAAGAAAAAGATAAGGAAGCCTTTAGATATTGTATAGATTTCCTTACCTTTCCGTTCCTTTCCTTACCTTTTCCTTCAAACCAAATATATCCTAAGGGGTCACTTGCTTGCAGCTGAAGTTTCAAAACTGAATGACCAGTTGCTAAGTAGTTTCAGTGGTTAAGCAGCCCCTTAAGCTCTTAAAGTTCAAAAATCTTCAATTAAAAAATAATGATTCTATTAATGATATAGCTTTCTTGTTTTCCACCTGTAATTTGTACGGAGACTTACGGTGATGTAGCAAGCATGTGAAGGCATTCGGTATCACCATGCAAGCTGTTGCATGAAAGGAGAGCATTCTGAATTTCTTCACACACCCAACTGGTGTATCAGATCTGTTGTTTCACTTGATCATAAAAATAATTCATGTATTATTTAAATTAAACTGATATCTCTGTTGCCTCTTATGTGTTTGATTATTATCAATTTATATTATAATAATGAAATCAGTGTTTGTTATTGTTAGAATCTTCTCTGTAAACTGACACAGCTAGTTAGCTGACAATTTATCATGTTTATATTTATCATCATCATCATCATATCCTAAAAATATATGATAAAAATGGTTATTTTTGTATATTGTTTTGAACAAAATTTACTCAAAGTTATAAGGAAATGAATAAAATGGTCCATGGAGTAATGTTGGATTAATAAAACTTTCATGGTGTTTTCTGTTAGAATTACTCTGAATAATAGTGTAGAAAGAAAAATTAAGTATAAAAAGGGAATATTTAGATCTCTCTTCCTTTATATCTGTGACTGATTAGGCAGTTTTTGATCGTCTGATGCATTATTGTTTGGTCTATAGGGCTCATCCTTCTTTAAAAAGGAATGAAACATAAATAAATAAACTATTGGGAAAAAAAGAGTGAAAACAATAATAGAACTTTGGGTTACTTATCAAATGCATTGTTTGAATTTATACTGAAATTATATAATAGGGTAAAATATAAAAACCTTCTTGAAGTTTCTGACAATCACATAAACTTCCCCTATAGTTTCATTTTAGCAAATACCTCCCCTGAACTTTTGAGAAATTCAACAAAAACCTCCCTTCCGTTACCATACTAGATAGAAAATATTAGACTGATGCACCAGTTTTTTCCAAATATCTATTCTACCCTTTTATAAATCATTTTACATGCAAAATTACTGAAACAATCCTGTTTTTACTCATCAAAAACCTCCTTTAACAATCATCTCAGTAATTTTACATACAAAATTACTGAAATACGTATTTTTGTTGAATTAAAATGGGATTATTTTAGTAACTTTGTATGTAAAATAATTTATAAAAGGGTAGAATGGGTATTTGAAAAAAAAAACCGATGCATCAGTCTAATGTTTTCGATCCATCTGGGACGATGACAGAAGGGAGGTTTTTGTTGAGTTTCTCAAAAGTTCAAGAAGGTATTTGTTAAAATAAAACTATAGGGGAGGTTTTTATGATTGTCAAAAACTTTAGAGGAGGTTTTTGTATTTTAATATGATTCATAAGAATTGTGTTATTTTCATTATAATTGCGATACAATTAGCATTGCTTTTTTTATTCTTCTTTTATGGAGAACAAACCTTTTATACTATTATTATTTAACAGCCATTCTCTTAACTGTTAATGGTTCCCTAAAGATCTTGCTTGAGTAAGATTCTTTTTTTCTACCTGATGTTGGATATATATCTTTGTTTATTTATTTACTTTTTTTTGTTGCATTTTGGGTTGATTAATATAAATTTCTATTTCTACTAAAACATCAAGGGTTTGTAGGATTGGAATTGGAATTGGAATTGGAATTAAAATTGGAATCGCCTATTCTAAATGCTATTTGGTTCATAAGAGAATTGCAGTTGGATTTGGTGTATAGGAAACCGGATTGGATCAGGCGGATGGATTGATTAAACCATGACCAGGGGCCCTGGCCAGTTTGGTTGCACTCCAAGAACTAGAAGTCTAGAATTGCTAAAACCCAGTAAAAACCGGTAGACCGATTGGTTTAACAAAAAAAACCAATGAACAGAATCCTATTGATTAAACCATGACCAGGGGCCCTGGCCAGTTTAGGAATTCTTTACTTTTTGAGAAACTCTGGAATGAGAATTCCATTCCTACACTAGTGGAGGGGGGACTGGAATGGTCATTTCCCCAAACGGGGGAATCCCATTCCACCAAGAATGGGAATCGGAATCCTATTTCAACCAAACAAACAATTAGACCATTTTGATTTCGACTCCAAGCACCTATTTGGGGGAATCAACCAGACCCCAAATTTGATTTTCTCCCATGCATGTATTTTTCTAGTTAAGATGACACTCATATATGATGTGGCAACACATATTTCTCATAAATTTATATCAATCCACTCAAAACACAACGCTAACAAAATGCTACTCTATCAAACACCCCCTCTTTATACCTAGTTCAGATGCCACATGAAATGATTTCTTTTCTCCTTGTTTTTTTTTTTTCTAATTTTGAGTATATTTCATTTTATAAAATATTGAAATTAAGGTCATTTTAGCAACTAATAAGCATACACGTGGCAATTCTAGATAATGATAATGATAGTAATAATGTATCAAAAATTTATATTAATATGTATTTTTTATTTTTTGATTTTTCTTATTAATAGGACGAAGATTACAAAATCCAAATTTGATTACATAAAACACCTGCAAATATCATTGGATCGAGCTGTGAAGTTTCAAATATCATTGATAGGCCTACCTATTTGGCTAGATTCTTCTTTTTGCAATGCTTTATCTTTTTGGTGTATCTTTTTTTTTGTGTTCATTTATCAAAGAAATGTAAGATTTAAATAGAGGAAATTGAATGAGGT